TCTGACAACATTTGTGAGACAGCAACCCTTTTAGCGGCTGGATTTCCAGTGAAAGAACCAAACACGAGAGGAGGTAGAGTTGCACACCATAGTGACTTTATTTCACAACCACCATAAGAGAACAGCCAGCCAGCATGGAGGTGTTCACCACTTCCCTCCGACTGAAGACTTGCTCTTTTATAATAATAATAATAATAATAAATAATATTTTTATAGCGCCTTTCAGGAAACCCAAGGTCGCTTTACAAGTCGGGTAGGGGGGGGGAGTAGGGGAAAAAAGGCAGACAGGTTAAGGGGGTGGGGGGGGGGGGGGGAAGTAGCGGAAAAATAAACCTATTAAACTAACTATACAGTGGCGAAAGCCTTGGTAAAAAGGTGCGTTTTGAGGGCTTTTTTGAAAATGTCCAGGGTTGGGGCGCTGCGGATTTCGGGGGGGAGAGAGTTCCAGAGGGTGGGGGATGCCCACCCGATGCCCCACTCTATACACATATAGAGGATCTTATTGGGAGGAACCATTCACAGGTAATTTATAATAGCTGCACATGTCCTCATAATGGTTATAACAAATGTCTACATTATTATGTGCAGGCATGATTAGTGGTTTATTAGCCATCTGTTAATTTCATTATAACTGATCAGAATAAATATAAATACATTCCCAACTAAAACAAACCCCTATGCCCATCTCGCCACTTAGTTTGTCCCGGAACCTTCTTTAGTCAGTGTTGGTTTCCCCGAGGACCTTTTGGCCAAACACACTGGAGCGGACACAGGACGAAACAGCATGGGTAAGCGATGGACGTAACCTTTACACAGTGTTCACTTCTACAATTAATGCAACTTAATGTCATGACATATACACGCTAAAACATAGTATGTGCACTAGGGCTGGGCAACATAACATAAAATGTAACATACAATATTTCTTTAAACACAAGTTGAACATCTTGCTATTAGTAGATTGGAGGTAGTTCTGATAAAGTGCCAACAAAACATTCAACAGCATTAATTATCAGTGCATGAGAGCATAAGGTGTTTTTTTGTTGTGCTGTTTTAGTTTGAATATCCTCTTTTCTAAACATTCTTAGCCAGGAAGACAAGCCTGTCTACCACCTCTGGCTTTAGACATGCCCGGCGGCATGTAACAATGCCCCCCCCCCCCACACTGAATACCCTCTCTGAGGGTGCACTTGTTGCTGGGATTGAGAGGTATTTTATTTGCCAGGACACTTTCGGTTGGTGGCGCTTCCACCACTCAAGAGGATTGGTGTCTGGGTCTACCTCGGGGGTCAATAAGAAATATTTCAGCTCAGTCTCTATCTTTTCTGCCTCTGACTGGTTGGGAGATGACACTGGATTCTTTTTAAAGAAGGCCGCTAAAGTCATCTTTTTCTTGGGTGGAGGCTGTGCATCTTCTTGGCGCACCTGCACAGCCGTGCCAGGCTGCTGTGGTGTACTGTTGTTGGCAGGAGCAGGTAGAGACATAATCTCAGCAACAGCTCTTTTTTTGACTGGTTCCACCTTGTCTGGGTCAATGTAGGTTGTGTGGAACCTTACGTCAACCAGTGAGGACATGTTCAAGAGTTCATCTTTTACAGGGTCGCTGTATTTGTCGTCAAGGTACCGCATTATTTTTCCTTTTATTGTTTTCGTGAGCTCTGCGTCTTCCTCCTCTGGCTGTAGGAGACTGGGTTTGAACAGATTGGTTTGATGTATGAGAGTGCATCAGTGAATTCTTGGAGTGGTTTTACAGCTTTATTTATCGACTCCAACACATCCAGATCTTGCCAAGTGGGCACAAGATGGCGACTTTTCTTGTCCGAACCCAGGACACAGACTAGAGCATTCTCCTGTTTGAGAAATCTCTCAATCATTCTTTGGCGTGAACTCCATCTGGTCGGGGACTCTGTTATCAGCTGATGAGTGGGTAGACCAAGTTCTGCCTGTACTTCACTCATGTCTCTTCTTTTTTTCCAGCTGTAAGAAAAGGCAGACACAGCCTTTTTACATACCCCAATAGCACGATCGATCCGTGGGTCCTTCACACCATTCTCTGTAGTAAATGAAGAATACATAATCAAAACACATTTTAGTGGAACATACCACTACATTCACAAACTTGTCTTGCTTCAATTTCTGCAAAATATTAATGCACAAAGGACACACACACACACACACACACACACACACACACACACACACACACACACACACACACACACACACACACCCTTTAAGACGAGCAGTATGTCTTTCATGTCATTCACAGAAATAAACGACTCACGCACTTGCGTGGTCAACGTGAGAAATAGTTTTGCCTCAATCTTCACGCAATTTCCACAACTTGATGCATAGCCATTAGACTTACTTACCGATAGCATTGTGCAATCTGTGTCCAAAGCACTGGAGTTTGGGCCACGCATTGTCCTTCAGAGCTTTAATCATGTTGCTGTCAGTAGTCATGCAAATAAGTCGGTCTTCGGCAAGGTTCCATGAGTTTAGGGCATCTTTTAGACCCATGGCTATAATTTCACCTGTGTGGTCCTCTGGAAAGTATGCCGTTTGGAGGCAGACGCTCCGCAGAGTCCAGTCGTTGTTAATAAAGTGCACAGTAAGACTCATATACGGCTGCATCGTCCGACTCGACCATAAATCTGTGGTGGCAGAATAAAAGGACACCTCTTCCAACTTATTTGCGACCCGTTGTCTTGTGCTATTTGCTGAGGCAAGGCAACTTCGGAGAAGAACTTTCGGCTTGGTAATACATACCTGGGGTCCAAAACTTTAATCATGTTAATAAACCCCGGCTTTTCCACCGTATATATTGGCACCATATCCTTTGCTATATACAGTTGCAAGAAAAAGTATGTGAACCCTTTGGAATTACCTGCATTTCTGCATAAGTTGGTCATAAAATGTGTTCTGATCTTCATCCAAGTCACAACAATAGACAAACACAGTCTGCTTAAACTAATACCACACAAACAATTATATGTTTTCATGTTTTTATTGAGCACACCATGTAAACATTCACAGTGCAGGGTGGAAAAAGTATGTGAACTCCTAGGCTAAAGACTTCTTCAAGAGCTAATTGGAGTCAGGAGTCAGCCAACCTGGAGTCCAATCAATGAGACGAGATTGGAGGTGTTGGTTAAAGCTGCCCTGCCCTATACAAAATACACACCAGTTTTGAATTAGCTATTCTTAAGAAGCATTGCCAGATGTGAACCATGCCTCGCACAAAAGAGCTCTCAGAAGACCTACGATTAAGAATGGTTGACTTGCATAAAGCTGGAAAGGGTTACAAAAGTATCTCTAAAAGCCTTGATGTTCATCAGTCCGTCCACGGTAAGACAAATTGTCTATAAATGGAGAAAGTTCAGCACTGTTGCTACTCTCCCTAGGAGTGGCCGTCCTGTAAAGATGACTGCAAGAGCACAGCGCAGAATGCTCAATGAGGTGAAGAAGAATCCTAGAGTGTCAGCTAGAGACTTAAAGAAATCTCTGGCACATGCTAACATCTCTGTTGACGAATCTACGATACGTAAAACACTGAACAAGAATGGAGTTCATGGGAGGACACCACGGAGGAAGCCACTGCTGTCCAGAAAAAACATTGCTGCACGTTTGAAGTTTGCAAAAGAGCACCTGGATGTTCCACAGCACTACTGGCAAAATATTCTGTGGACGGATGAAACCAGAGTTGAGTTGTTTGGAAGGAACACACAACGCTATGTGTGGAGAATCCAAAGGCTTCACATACTTTTTCTTGCAACTGTACATACCGACCGCATCTGTAATGGCTTTCCAGTGGGCCAAATTCTTGTCATATGGGATGCAGTTTGAAAATGTTTGTGTTACGGTGGACTGTATTTTGGCGGCTGTGCTTGTAGTGCCGCGGTCTTTTTCATTCCGCTGCGCGCAACATTTCTCCCATTCAGCAGGATGCTTTTGTTTGAGGTGCTGCAGTAAATTTGTCGTACTGCTGCCTTTGCTAGCAACAGACTTCAAACATACTTTGCAGCGGGGTGTTGTCTGGTCTAAATCTGACCTCGCGAACGCAAACCAATTCCAAATAACGGATAACACCGTGCCTTTCTTTGGAACAAGTTCTTCCCTGCTCGTTGTCATGTTGTTTGTGTATCACTCTATTTGGTAAATGCGCGCACTGTGCGGGGGGAGGGATGTGCCCATTCCGAACTACGGGAGCCCAGAGGGAAGCGTTGGCGGATGTTGAAGAGAAAACCGATTTTCATTTAAACAAGTCGACGTGAACTACACACTCGAGTTAATCGATAAAATTGATTTATCGCCCAGCCCTAATTTGCACACAATGATTAATCTCAACCGCTGTTAATCTTACACAATCATAAACACTTTTGGCACTCTCGCTATAACTCCCCTCTCTTTTCAGGTGGAGCCGAGGACCCGACCAGCATCTGCCAGACGACATTTCAATTAATACGGTTTAATCATTTAATAAATACTACATCAATAAATAGTATAAATTATATAAAAATGTGCAAATATACAATGTCAAACTGTACTGTGCAAATCACGCTAATAAAGTGTAAATGTTTTTTAGGAACATTATAGATGGTAACGTCATTCTGATTATAATTAGTTCACATTATTGCTTAAGCTATTGCCCAGAATGGTTTCTTGTGGATTATGAGCATGTGTTTGATTGGAGCATCAGGGTGCTGACTGCACTTCATTTAAAAGCCACAGATGGGTTTTCTGAAGATTCCACACATTGCCTTTAAACTGTGCTGGTCAGTAGATGATGAATGGCCAGGATGTATTGAGCGCCTGTCATTGTCACTGATTTGTAGTAGAGTCAATGCCACCAGCAGCACCTCATTGAGGGGGACATAAAGCTGCCGGTCAGGGCTGCAGGGTGAAGCGTATCAAGGCCACAGGCACAGATCCTCCTGTGATGGAGCCGTTTGGTGTTTACATAATCTAAGACACTGTACAGACATTTACAGGACATCAAATGATTGTTGTAGTTGAAAAAGACTTTTATTCAGTGCCTGGGAGTAACAGTACAGCACAATTTGTTATAAAAAAATGATATCCACAGGTTCATCAAGACATCAGGAGCTCTACGGCCAGGTTAGTGTCTGAAATGCATACAAGGCTAAAACATCTCCTTAACGGACGTTTTTTCTGTCCCTAAAACCCAGGACAGCAATCACTCCAGATAGATTAGCAGCAAACTAATCATTTCCAGCTTACTCACTAGTCGCTTTTAATGAAGTGGTAAAAGGAAAATTATTTCAGATTCAAAAGGCTCAATTTCAGCTAGACGGAATCTAGCCCTCTGGATGTGGGATTATTCATTACATTAGTGTCCATGTCCAACAAGGTCATTTAAATGTGGTGTGAAGGGAAAGCAACTGAATGTACCCGAGCAAAAAACACAATATTTTCATATGTGTGGAATACAAAGGATGGTTCCCATATGAACTTGTTTTGCAAAGCAGTCCTAGTTGTTTAATAAGGCACAGTTTATGTTCAGGTGCTCTTTTGAAAGTAATTAAATGTTCTGTTCTGCGTATAATATAAAAGAGGGTATTTAGCTTTTTTAAATCATTTTTTTTCCTTACATAACTTCATTTAAAAATAAATATCTATTATCTTCTTTAAAATAGTCTTTAAAAGTTTGCTGTTCCCCATCATAACCCACAATTCTAAAATGAAATTGGAGAAAATATGGAAATGGTCAATACCTAAAATAAAAAATAACAGGATGGATATAGCATTTTTATAAACAGCTCAAAGGTAAAACAATGATAACGTTAAAAAAAAAAAAAAAAATCACAAACAACAAACATGTAATATACAGAATTTGAAAAAAATGGATACAATTTGAGAAGCTTCTCCGCTCTCGTTTCGCCCCTTGGAGAAAATATGTGCCAAAGTCCCAGAGAAAAAGGCCCAACACCCCCCTGTTCGACCCATCTCTTTGGCGTTTGTGGAGGGGAGGAGCAGGCGAAGCGTCTCTGCCAGGCAAAGAGCCACAGGGCCAGTTCATTGGACGCCACATGTTCACCAGGCGTGTTCTCGGGAATTAAATCTGTGTTTAACTAGGGCCCAGAACAAAGAAAATAAAAGGGGGTATGGACGGGATTTATTTTTTGGAGTGTGTTGTGAAGGCGTTCTCGATGCAGAGGACGATGTAGGATCCGGAGCAGCTGCTGGAGCTCTGCTGCAGGAGCTGTCCGCTCTGTAGTGACGACGCCAGGCCAGACACGGCGTGGTCGCCCGTCCGCCATGTTTCACAGTAGTGGTCTGTTTGCCGGTGGCCTTTGTTGTTTGATCCATGCCAGACCATTTTCTCTGGCCTAAAGATAAGCAAAAACAAGCACTTGGGTCAAAATGTTCAATATACAGTATGAGTCCACATATAGATAACCAACAAAGTGGAAACAAAGACTACTGCTAAAAACAGCTACATGATGGAGCTCAGGATGCTGTATTGAATTCATGTTAAACTAAATGAACAAACAACTTACCATGCGCTGTCTCTGAGAGTGTCTCTACCATCGAAGGAATAGATCGGTACATTCTCCCTCATTTTGTTCGTGTTGTCACCAAACATTGACTCCCAACTGTCGAACAACACTTGGTCCTGCGAGGAAGAGAATATAATGCCTTAAATTGTATTTCTGCTCTGTGAATTCTTATTCATAAAAGCAGCAAGATTCATAGAATATCCATAATTTTAGTCCATAAACTTACAGAATTAAAATAATGATTTTCATGGGACTATTTATTTAAAAAAAATTCGTAAGTCAACACAGGGATAGGGTCTACATGATTTACATTTTGAAAAACTGTCTATCAGTGGAGTTCAGCCGGTGTATACACCCTATGTTGTATGAGCAGAACAATGCCACTTTCTGATTGGCCCTTAAGCAATGTTACCACTCCTCCGGCAGTAGAATCTCACCTTGAGGTTGACGATGGAGAAGTTGTCGCGGTCGGCCCTGCGGACGATGGTGTACAGGTCCTGGAGCTTAGAGGACAGGAAGGCTCTGAAGGTTCCCTTCAGGCCCACAGCGCGGGCCTGCTGGAAGCACAGGAAGTCGGCTCCACGAATCCCTCGCATGTTGCCAGTTTGAGGGGCATTCAAGGCGATGATATGAAGCTGAGGAGGAAGACACAGGCTTCTGGTAAAACAGCTGCCTCTGGATGAACTCATCTTGTTACACATTGGTATAAGGTCAGTTGCTCAGCACATTATCACCATATTGTTTGGGCCAGAGTGCTTTTCTTTACAAGATGCAGTGCTAAAATGGGGAGACAAAGGGATTGACATTGCTGCAATGATAGCACTGTGAAAGTATTAGGCAGAGACCACTGAGCTATCCGGCACCCAATGGTGATTTGTTTTTCAAATTAAAATGTTCTTAACACTAGAACCGCCAGAGGTCGCTGTATACCTAAAACCGCCAACGGGTAAAATTTACCCGCTATTGATTTTCAAGGTACAATGTTCTTTTATTTATCATACAGAACAGTGAGTTTTGATCGCACAGGGATGACATTTATACCAATATAATCTGTGGACTCTCAGCTCTTCATTTGATATCGTTTGTACAGATAGCATGAAGTATAACATATCGCTAAGAGTGCTGATTTAAACGCTTGGTGTTAGACTTGTGTTTTGTTTAGGTACAAATCTCTCTATCTATCTATAACTATCTATCGATCCATCTGTAATGTTCTGTTCTATGGACATATAATTGTTTACATAAACAGACGACACGGACTACTTCTCTCATTCCGAGTGTCCATCTTTATTCAACTGGCACGTAACCTGCACACATGCATTACGTCTTCAACGTGAGCTCAGTCATCCAAGATCTTGTATTCTCCAAGATGTTACACTATCTATCTGTCTATTTCTCTCTCTATTCATCTATCAATATATCTATTTATCTATCTATCTCTCAATCTATCTCTCTATCTATAAGGAACCGCAGTAGATAAAAGGCGTTGCTATAGCAACACGTTATGTTTACGCTGCATTTTCTATGAGGTAAATATTACCCGCTGGCGGATATAGGTATAATGGCATTTTTTTTTGGCGATTTTTTCAATCTGACTTCATATTGACAATTGTTAACAACTGAGGGTGCTACATAACGCACTTTCAGGAAAAGTCACGGACTGGGAGACTTTAATATGTTATTGAAAAAAAGTTGCATACAATCTAAAAACAGCTGCGGGTAAAATGTACCCGTTGGCGGTTCTAGTGTTAAAGAGTTTCACTGTTCAACAATGTGTGACCCCTACTCGATCTAAAGTAAGAATAGAACTATACCGCTTATAAGACTGTTGGTAACAGATGAATGCAGCAACAGGAGTGTTGAAGATATATTTAAAGTAATTTAGAATCATTGTCGAACCTCAGATTGAGGAGGAACAATGCGGATTCCGTCCTGGTCGTGGAACGACGGATCAGCTTTTTACTCTCGCAAGGATCCTGGAGGGGAGTACGCTTATCCAGTCTACATGTGTTTTGTAGACTTGGAGAAGGCGTATGACCGAGTTCCCAGGGAGTTACCGTGGGAGGTGCTGCGGGAGTATGGGGTGAGGGGGTCTCTACTCAGGGCCATCCAATCTCTGTACTCCCAAAGCGAGAGCTGTGTCCGGGTCCTCGGCAGTAAGTCGGACCCATTTCTGGTGAGGGTTGGCCTCCGCCAGGGCTGCGCTTTGTCACCAATCCTGTTTGTAATATACATGGATCGGATTTCGAGGCGTAGTCATGGGGGAGGGGGTCTGCAGTTCGGTGGACTAAGGATTGCACCACTGCTTTTTGCAGATGATGTGGTTCTGATGGCTTCATCGGTCTGCGACCTTCAGCACTCACTGGATCGGTTCGCAACCGAGTGTGAAGCGGCTGGGATGAGGATCAGCACCTCCAAATCTGAGGCCATGGTTCTCAGCAGGAAACCGATGGACTGTCCACTTCAAGTAGGGAATGAGTCCTTATCCCAAGTGAAGGAGTTCAAGTATCTCGGGGTCTTGTTCTCGAGTGAGGGAACAATGGAGCGTGAGATGGGCCGGAGAATCGGGGGAGCGGTACTGCGGTCGCTTTACCGCACCGTTGTGACGAAAAGGGAGCTGAGCCAGAAGGCAAAGCTCTCTGTCTACCGGGCCATTTTCGTTCCTACCCTCACCTACAGTATGGTCATGAAGGATGGGTCATGACCGAAAGAACGAGATCGCGGATACAAGCGGCCGAGATGGGTTTTCTCCGCAGGGTGGCTGGTGTCTCCCTTAGGGATAAGGTGAGAAGTTCGGTCATCAGGGAGGGACTCGGAGTTGAGCCGCTCCTCCTTCGCGTCGAAAGGAGCCAGTTGAGGTGGTTCGGGCACCTAGTTAGGATGCCACCTGGGCGCCTCCCTAGGGAGGTGTTCCAGGCACGTCCAGCTGGGAAGAGACCAAGGGGTAGACCTAGGACCAGGTGGAGGGAGTATATCTCTTCGCTGGCCTGGGAGCGCCTTGGGATCCCCCAGTCAGAGCTGGTTGATGTCGCCAGGGAAAAGAAAGTTTGGGGCTCTCTGCTGGAACTGCTACCCCCGCGACCCGACCACGGATAAGCGGGAGAAGATGAAAGGATGGATAGAATCATTGTCCCTATTAGGTCATTTTAAAGTATCAACCTAAAACTTTTATTAGCTTTATTCGCCATCAATATTATTTTCAGTAAAACATCAATACTGAATATGAGCAACAAATAATCCAAATTAGGCTCCCATCCCTTTCCTCTGTCTATTTCTACATAGCTATTTAAGGAAATAGCATAGTCTTTCCAAAACACATTTGCCTAATAAAATGTATCCGATATGAACCCAGGACAAAATAAGCAATTAATTGGTTAAAATAATTAAATAATCCAATTAGTAATTGGATGTGAGAGGAGAGAAAACAAAGCAGCCGTTCAAAGGTCAATGAGAACTGAAGAGGAAACGGATGCTGCTTCTCTGTCATATTACCTTTTTGTGGGGATTTTATTCTCTTCTTTAAATATGGCTTTTTTTCAACCAATTAAAACCTCCATGTCAAATATCTATTCTACATTATCATCACTTATTAACTGAAAATTGTTTAGGGTGACGGCTTACACTTGTTTATCCTGCATTAAACGAACGTGATACTTCCATTATTAACTCATTGACATTTGTGTTGGTGGTCTCCTGATGGCGCTGTACTCACTCCTGATGCTGAGGGCTCCGCGGGGACGGCAGGCTGCGGGATCGGGGGGCTGGGTCTCCTTGGAGTTACAGAGTATCTGTTGTCAGTCTGGTGGGGGACGAACCGTCCGTCTGTGTGACCTGTCTGTCTCGGGTCTGGGAATCTGGGATCATACTGTGGGGGGTATCGGGGATTCACAGGTGGCTGTGATGAGGGCTCAATGGGTCGTATGACTGGACCCCCATGGGAGTAATGGCCCGCTCCGTTGTTCTGGGACTGATCCTGGGTGTCGGGGTACACGATCACAGGGGGGGGCTGGACCTCTGCCACCTCGTTCGCCTTTGAATGAAAATGAGAGGTATTAGTTACGAAATCAAATATAAGAAAAAGTGATGGAGAAAGAAAAAACAAATACGTTTATTTTATTTCTCTTACCAGATCTCTGAAGAAAGGGTTGTAATCTCCAAGCTGATAGGGGAAAAAAACTGATCAGATTCTGACATCTCACCCACAAAGAATAAATCACCTGATCTGAATTGTAATACATGAAGGTACTGTATATCGTCTCACTATTAGTACTTTTACATAAACACATAAATTAAGCACACCGTTTTATGAGTGAAAGTTTTAAAAGTTAAACAAACAAAGCAATAAGCAATATTTAAATTTGAATGAAATAACTTAAAATAAAAAAAAATTAAACTAAATAATATTACATTTCAATTCAGAACAATGCAAGAGAATGAAACAACAAAATATATATTTCAATATTGCAATTTTAGAAATCTTAACTGCATTTTTGCCCCCTAGTGGCCAAAAATGGATTGCAGCTTTAAAGTCTAATTGTATTAAACACTGTGGTTCAATTATATAACAATCTATATTATTGCATTTCCCTTGGAAAAAGAAGATGACCATACCATGACTTGGCGCAGTCCATCGCGTACTCTCAGATAGAGGTCTGCTTTGTCGAGGATGTAGATGAGGCTGCCCTCGGACTGGCGTCTGGCGGTAGCTACCATTGTTTCATATGACCTCAGCACAGTAACCTGTGGAAGACAAATAAACAGAAAGTTCTCATCAGCCTGGAACATTTGATCAGTTACATGTATCTAAGACATAGTATGATCAATTGCAACCAACTGTTTGAATTCACTTATCACCAATCACTTATTGCAGTGAAGGCACTTACCCCAGAGGAGAGGGCCGAACTTCCTGGTTGGCCAGGAGGACCGGGAGGTCCAGGAATACTGACGGCTTTAAAAGAAAGCATATTGTTAATGATTTGGCGAATGAACAGCTTAAGTGGAGAAGGTCTCCAGGAGACAACAACAACAACAACAGGGACATTAGCATGAGGTCACCTCATAAATAGTTGTACCATACCAGTGAGTGGTTTAGAAATATTCAGGATATTTAAAGATAGAACAATCCGCTTACGGTTATTGGGCCTGTATGTTTCGGGAAGTGTGGGAAGTCCTGGAGGTCCAGGGGGTCCTGGAACACCTGGACGCCCATCGTAACCAATCCCTGGGGTTCCTGGTGGCCCCTGGGGTCCAGGAGGTCCCATTACAGAGTCTCCCTTTGGACCCTAACATGAAAGAGAAAAATCCTAATTATTGGAATGCATTTTTATTTATTTGTCTCATTTAGATCATTTCAAACAACTTTGTTGATGTGTAATAACTGGAGTAACTGCTTAGTGTACGTGTCAATCAACAACGATAGTTTAGATGTTTTGAAATAGGGTACCTACATTACATGTTACACCCCCAGTTTGGAGAAACAGACAGGAGTACCTGCCAGAAGCTAAGCAATGTACTGCTATGGATGCAAAAATGATTTGGAAATCTGGAAGAAAAGCCAACCCATTGACACCAGTTTAAGTGTACGCTGAATACAAAATATTTTCCCCTTATATGGGGAACTACAGCCATTGTTATACTCTCAATAGAAACCACCAAACTCTGATAAATTGAGAAAAATGTATAATATTAGAGGTCTACCACTAATTTAATTAGTTAACTTGTATTGGTTGTTTTGATTGATTGATTGAAAAGTTTATTAACAGCTTGTATATTGGGTACAGTACAGTACAGCTCAAAACATACAATTGTTAAGGGGATGCAGACCAGAGAAAGACTTTCGTCTTGTTTACATCAGGGTCCCCCATTTCCAATTCATCATGTCATTTAAGACATATAAGACATATTTGACATACAGATGGCTTATTTACAATTTACATACAGGTGGTTTTTTTACATACAGATTGCTTGTTTACAATTTTCATTTTAGATTTCGTTCTAATACATCCTAACCGGACATTTAAGACATACCAAGTCTACAGATATACAGTTAGTAACAGAGTCTAAAATGCGAGTATATACATAGATGGGGGGGGGGGGGAGCTGTCCATTGAACGACAGGTTGAGATTTGTACCATTACCGGGGCCTGTTTTGCAATGCTCTCCCCCGAAGGTGCTCTTTAAGAGAGGTGGTGTTACTGTGTGACTTTGGTGAATCTGACCTAATGCTTTAAAACACGTGTCAAACTCAAGGCCTGGGGGCCAAATCAGGCCCTTGGTGGATTTAATTTCGGCCCGCAGGATAATTTTTAATTACTATTAGCTCTGGCCCGCCGGTATATTGCACGCACACCTTCACTTAGGGCTGTGCAATTAATCGTATTTTAATCGCGATTACGATTATGGTTTGCGACGATTAGGAAAACAGCATAATTGACAAAATACGATTATTTAGCTGGGTGCGCTTTCGCCCCTCCCTAAAAGCCCACTCGGCCACGTGGGAGTGACATGTGTTGTGAGTGTTCAGCGCAAGCGAAGACGTCAGAACAAGAGCAGCAACTAGTTAAAAAGAAGGGTCGCGGGGAGATTCCCAGTCGATCGCGAGATGTGTCTAAAAATAGAACAACAATATTCTGTTTTATCGTTAATGTCCTGTAACATAATGTTCCCGTGCCAGAATAATGCACTTGAACGCATCAAAGCTTTGTGATTGGCCGGCCTCACCCCATGTGTCCGGGCGTGGCTGGTGAGCAGTGCACTAGTTCGCTGACGTTGTCCGTGTCAACAGCATGGATGGTCAACAGGAGTGACAGTCCGCACACACACAAGACCGCAATTATGGCAGAAGCAAAAAAGCCCAAAATATATAATTTTTACTCCAAGTGGGAGGATCATTATTTTTGTATCTATTCCAATTCAAAGTCCATCTGTCTCATCTGCAATGCGAGCGTGGCTTTATCGAAGAAGGGTAATTTAGGAGCGGCATTTCAAAACAGTGCACAAACGCTACGAGACGGAATTCCCTCCTAATTCTGCCCTACGCTCCAAAAGGGGAGGGGCCTGAAAGGACCGCTAAATGCACAGCAGTCCATTTTCACCAGGCCCAACAACAAGAGCAAGGCTGCTACCAGAGCATCTTATCGTGTCAGTCACGTTCTTGCGAAACACATGAAGTCTTTCGAAGACGGCGAAGTTATGAAAGAAGCTTTCCTGGAGTCTGCCGATGCGCTTTTGTGGGACAGTAAAAATAACAGCAGCATTTCAACAGGTTTTTGATCTAATAAAAACTCAATTTAGATACCGTTATTAATCTGCTGTAAGTTTTAGTTTGTTTGAATTTATTCATGATAATTATTGTACAAAATGGTATAAGAATGCAAACATTAAGATCTGTTCTGTTTAAATTGATTATAGTCTATCAGTTCAGAAACTAGTGTTGCTTGCATCCTAGTTTTTAAAGGCATTTATTTTTATACTCTAATAAAATGCAACAAAAAATGGGTTTGATTCTATTAATGTTGTCTTTTTTATTGCACTGTTGCTGCAGCAGATTACTGTGTAGCTTCAGATCTGAGTTGTCTTATTAGTAAGCCTAATTTATACTTTTGTAGCAACACTATTTTTATATAATGGCAAAGAAAGGGTTCTTCAGAGTCTTTTCTTTTTTTCCTGTGTCATATGTGGCAGCACTGCCACAAGTTCCTCTTCAGAGAGGGTCTTCAGTACAGGTGGCAATATCGTCACCTGCCTGCGCTCATCTCTGAAACCAGACCATGTAAACAGGCTGGTATTTCTTGCAAAAAATCTTTAAGAGATGACATGAGCAGCCCAACCAGCATTTGCCATGGTGGCCTAAACATTTTTATTTGGTCTTAAATTGTAGTTCAACATTTATTTCCTGTTACTTCTGGACCATGACGGTTGGCCAGCCTTCAACGTTTAACTGAGTGGAATATGTTGAATATGTTTTACCAAAATGTTGGCTATATGTTAAGGAGTTTTCAGTAGGTTGTGACAGTGCACTGCAACATATTTGATTTCATTTATTTTGGTCTAATTTATTTGTATTTATCATATTAATATATGTTTAGTATGGTTTTGGAAGTGCGCTCCAACACATTTATTGATCTTGTTTATTGGTAAAATATTATTTGTTTTAAAGTTCAATAAATGGTCAATGAATAATCGTCAAAATAATCGTGATATCAATTATTGACCAAATAATCGTGATTATGATTGTTGCCATAATCGCACAGCCCTACCTTCACTCTATCCTGAGGGTTTCCTCAGCTCAGAGCCTGACCCCAAACATTGATGAACTTGCACCCAAGATGAGATGCCAAGTATCTGGCTTGAACTAGTATCACAGAGCAGCACACTGAGTTTCAATGGATGTTTCCTTCTGCACTTTCTCTCACGACAACAGGGCATGTTTGGTTTGTTCTTTGAGGGAAATAGTTTTTTTGAAGCTGTTGTTGGCCTGTGGGACAATGTACTCCTAAGAAATGACTCTGGAAAAGCTGCAGATAGAGCCAGAAGAAATGAATGCAACTGATTATTTAATGTTTAATGTTGTTTTTATAGGCAATAATTTAAGCTTTGTTAGTTCCAGGTTTAATATGTACAATACATTATTTCAATACGTTTTGCAATAAACATTGAACCAGTCCGGCCCTCGACTAGTACCCATTTTTTTAATTTTGGCCCACTGTGTATTTGAGTTTGACACCCCTGCTTTAAAACATTGATCACAATCCTAACTAACCAATCGAGGCAGCGTTAAACCAGCAATTCACTGGTCTACCCCTGATAGATGCATTTAACAGCTTTAGAATCCCGTTGGAAAGGGCTGTCTGACTGTAAGAAGTGACATGTTTTTAATATAGCGTGAACTCTTTTTCGGTGACTAAGACCTGTTTTGTTGCTGTCCCCGGCAGCAGTACATTTCTCTGCTTCCTGACTTGGTTCCTTTTGGTTTTTCCAAAACTGGGAACGTACAAGTACCTCATACAACCCCAACTCAAAACACCCAAACTCTCCCTTTAATAACCTGGCTGTTAATATATACGACAGACTCTCTGAACTCACCTCTAGACCCGGTTTACCAGGTGGCCCCGGTTGTCCTTGTACTCCTCCAAAACGTTGGTCATAATATCCTCCACTCTGCTCTCCCTTTTCTCCCTTTACACCCACGTCTCCACGCTCACCCTTCAGCTCATTCTGTGGGGAAAATGTTTACATTATGAAGTACAGTATATCCATCATACTAATACATCTGACAAGTGCTATAGCAACAAGCTAGTTTACCTTGAATGCGTAAATATCAAAGTTAGGGGCTGTTCCTAGAGAAAGAAACAGATGTGCTTTAGTTATTAAGTACTCATAATTAACTTCAACATGGTCTTGCAGTGCAGTGATAAAGTAAATGGTATGTTTAATTTATTCCAATAAGGATTTACCTGGGATTCCCGGCAGTCCATGGTCACCTTGCTCTCCTTTGTCTCCTTTAGTTGCTAGAACAAAATATAATTTGTTAACAATGGTGATGAGTAAGACACAATATCCCACAGGTGTATCTACTATACAAAACTGGAAGCACCCTGTGTTCTAAATTTCATCATATCATCCTTCAAATCTAGTCCGACTTGACGGCTTAATCTCCTGACAATGGAGTGTATATCCCCTTCAGGCTGAGGCAGCTGGATCAAACTGAAACTAAGATAGAAGTGTTTATCTCTGCAGACACTTTAAACCCCCTCTAAATCTCTCTTCCTTGACTGGCACTTTTACTTAACTTCTCCATTCTGATCCCCCTCTATCTTACAGTATTACGTATTGGTGCTTAATAAAACAAACGGTGTGTGTTGGAGGTCATACCTGGGTAATTCCTTGAAGTGTCGTCATAGCGCTATGAACAGAAAAGAAAATGTTCAATGAAAATATTAACAGTAAGGACAGAAGGAAAAGTTTCACCATCATGGCTTAAACAACGGAACAAAAGCACCAGATAATGTCTGAATATGGAAATACAGAAACTGTTCCACATTACATGAAAGACTAACTGGAACATATCGATGTCCATGGTTCAGGTGTTGGTGTGTGTGTACTTACATTGAAGCGATCAAAGGGTGAGGTTGGTCCGGGGGGTCCAGGTGGTCCTGGTTGGCCAGGCACTCCCTATGATACAAAGACATCCTTACTGTCTGGTATGTTGATACTGAATGTTAAACATGAATACTTATTTAATTTCATGGCATTCTTTCAGAAATACACTGACAGATCTAAGAAATTTACAGTTTGGATTAAGATTACGGAAGCTTTCTCCGTGAATCAACATTACTTCTACCACTGGCACAAGGTTAGCTGAACAGCAGCAGTGACCAGGCTCAAATGCAGAGAAGAACCCTGGGTCAGTTGTGAAATTAAAGAATATTTGGGTTTTTGAAACCCAATACTGGTTATTGTTACAAAGCATACTTGAAAAATATCTCTCGTTAACAAAAAACTTGCTAGCTCATCTGTTTCTGATGCTTAATGCCAGATTGTATTCCTTTTTACTCAATATGTTTAGCTGATTAGATATCACCTTTACATTTTTTTGAAAGAAGGCCAGTCACATCCATGCTGCATCCTAACTCCAATTGCTCTCTTTTGGTTCTATTATCAAAAAATAGTTCCTGCTACTTTGTTTAGTACCACCTTGGGTAGATATTGCAATATGGCAGACAAAACTAAGCCATACAATGTGTAAACTATGTCATTAAGATGACCATGTGCAGCTTTTTCTCTGGTTGCCAATAAAAAGGATTGAGCAAGGGTCAAATTGAAGATGACTGATTTAATGGCTGGGGTGGAAAACAGAATAGAGAAAAGGACCAAATGTGAGTCTTTTGCCTTCATTACACCCTTGCATAGCTCGAGTAAAGTAAACGAGTTGATGTTAAACTGTATGTTATAAGCTTTGTCACTTTGCTCATCTAAGACATTGGTGATATGTTTAACACTTACTGGGTAGCCATAGCCAGAACCTCCTGATGTATCTCCTTTCTCTCCTTTGTACCCGTTCACACCAGGACGACCCTGAGGGGAGAGAGTCAACGATTAGTGCTGCCATACACGTGGACACAAACCGGATTCAGATGTAACTATAGCCGTATACAAAAGGTCAGTCAAATGTATTTAATACTTAGAACAAACACAGAATGCTATAACATATAATATATCAACTAAGGACTTCTGTACTTACAGGTCTTCCAGGCATTCCAAATTCACCCTTTATTCCAGAAGGACCATACGGGCCCTACGACAAAAAAATCAAGAAATGAAAGACAATGTGAGATGACTGGAGAACAAATGGAAAAGCCAGGTCGTCATTCTTAAAAAGAACGAGTTCTCAGTTAACTTATAAAGGTAAAAACAATATATATATTTTGCATATAAATGCTGAAACACTTACAGCGAGTCCAACAGATCCAGGTGGTCCAATGTCTCCCTACAGACATGGTAAAGGAACCAGATTAGTTTCAAAAGTAAATGTACCACCTTCATTTAGGCAACACATTTAGACATTAGGTAGAGACATCATATACTATAGAGGGGTTTATGTTATGTGATAAACCCGACCGACAGTAAACTCAGTGAGACTCACCTTCTGCCCCGATAGACCATCCAGATGCAACAGACTTCCATCAGGTCCAATCACTAAGCCTGGTTCACCTTTCTCACCCTGAACACAGAGCAGCAGCAACAATGACAGCACTACCTCAATAACTACCAGTTGCTAAATTAATAGTTAAAAGAATGAAGACTCTACCTTCACTCCATAGCCTGGAACACCCGGTTCTCCTCTGTTACCCCTTGGCCCAATAGGACCCTGTATGATAAAGACAATACAATATCTCAATTGACCATGGGTCAGGGTAACAGTCAGTTGGCAGCAAACAGTCTTCGATGACACAGATCAATTCAAGATTGCCCATTAGCCATTTCCATTCTGTCTCCACTGTGCAGATTATAAATGGCTGAGTCGACCATTGCTTAAAGTGCTGATATTAGTGGATGAGATGTTGTGGCCTTCTATGAGTAGAGGCATGGCCAATCTGCTAGCTGTATTACTGAGAAGCATAAATGATTGCTAAGTTTCGTTGATGCTAGGGCTGCTCAATTAATCATATTTTAATCGCAATTACGATTTTGGCTTGCAATTCGTGGCCTACATTTTTGTCTGTATGCCTCCGGTATTAATTAATACGCTCGAAGGACTGTAGTCTTAACAATTTCGTAATCTAAGCTCTCCTCAACAGTCAGGGCATTGCAAACTTCCTGAGCTTTACCTACGAATTTGCAATCCAACAACAGAGGCCACACTCTCTTAGGCCACTGCAGCATACCAGCGATGCGTTCAAAGGCATTAAAGTATGTGTCTACCTCTGTTTCCCTGAACGGTGGGACTAATGTTATGTGCCTACTCACATCAAAACTGTCATGGGGATTTGTGTCCGAATTGCAACGACGTACAGACAATTCAACAGAGACCTGATTTATATGATTAAAGATTTAGATTGAGGAGATTTATCCATGGTCAACATTTGAATAAAAGGGTCACCAACCCCACCAATATCAGAAAACAGAATTAAAATATTTTATGAAAGAAAAAGACCAAAAATAATAATGAATGTATCCTACCAGTAATAGCTGTCTGTAGCTAAAGCCTGATATATATTCCTCTGAGACCCAGATTGATTAACTTTTAGCTTTTCTAAAAACTACGGTGCCCTATGGAACATACTTTGACAATCACATTTTAAGTCTCTCTTAGTTATTATTAACACTCGATAGTTTGGTTAATTTGGTTAATCCTAAATGTAGGGTCATTTCCTCATTGACTTCTACACAATCAAACCTCTTTTGGAAAATGGTGGAGTCTCCCCCTGCTGGATATTTTAAAGAATGGAGGTTTAAAGCACTTCCACAAAACCAGAAGTTACCGCTTGGGAATAACAAAAACGTTGGCAGACAAGTATATCTATCTCTTGTAGCAGATTGAAAGTAGAGGTTTCTATGGCATTTAGTTATATTTCCTAAAAGATTAACTTTTATTAAGACCATTTCCTTCAAGTTCTTTAGTGAATGGTTTTGAGTGTTGCAGACTGGGTAGGGAAGTTAAAAGTGAACATTTTCTTGGTTTTAGTATTTCATGGAATTTGTTTAAAAACAAATACTCATGTGGATTAAGGTTCAAAAGAAAGAGGCAACAGAAAACACTTTTATGATGGGAATAAGAGAATGGTACATTAATAATATAACAAATGGAGACTTACAGGGAATCCAGCTTGACCAGGTAAACCATTTTCTCCCTGTGCAGGAACATATAAGACATAATTACATGGCCTGTCATCCGTGGTAGGTTTTTTAAAGATGGCACAATGAGTAGAAAGCCTCATGTGAATACAAAACTGTAGCTGTGTTAAATAAGATTAGGTTGTACCTGTATAAGTATTAATATTTATATTTAAATACATACCGTCCGCCCAACATCACCAGCCACACCGCCGGCCTGTAGTGACACAGAGAGAGGAAGAAGAAGTTAGGATGAACACCGTCACTGATCTAAACTGCTGTTAGCTATGTGTCAGTGTAGTGTGTGTGCTTTTGGGTGTGTTCCTTACATTGCCATCAGTCTGGTAGATGATTTGTCCCGGGGGTCCAGGTGGGCCGGGGGGGCCAGTGAGTCCGGATCCATCCCGACCTGGCTCACCCTAAAACCACAACACCACACGCAGCAAAAAGATGAATTACTCTGTTACTTAATGAAATGCTTAATGTGACATAACTTGAATTGTTCTAATTTTTATAATGAAGATAAAGAATACAAGTTTCTTCACAAACTAAATATTATTTTTCTTTATTCTTCTCATTCTTAGGAGACTTTAAAGGTGTGAGAGATCCAAAGAACTATAACAAACTCTCTGACGAGGAATCATACAGGAGTGAGATGTGAGTTTGAGTAAAGTGAACATATTATATTGAAATGATATTCACCCTGTCTCCTTTGTCACCACCGTCACCCTTTGGTCCCTAAAATAAAGAGGAATGAGACAAAAGATATGTTAAAAAAATGTCAAAGCACTTTCCAAAAATACATCTGCTTCATTATGCAGAAGAGAAACAACCATCCCGTTTACATAAATAATAAATGCACTGCCTCTATCATATTAAAACGTGTAGAAACATGATTACCCATTAAATGAAATGATAGTGATACATTTAGGAAATGCATAGAAACGTGGCTACTACACACGTTTGAACAGATTGGATATGCAACATTCTGCCTGGTAAAACGCGCTGAAATATATTAGGTATATTGACAAAATAACCCATACTCAAAGGTCTTAGTCCCAATTCCAATCTGGCCATGACCTCCCCCTCAGCATGCAGCTCATTGTTTACTGCTTGTTTTATAAGTAGCCAGTTTACAAGCCTTTTAATTAAAAGCTAATAGAAAGTTCAATCGTCTGTCGATTGGCTTGTTTTAATCGCATGCAACCAAAGCCTGCTCAAACATGAACGATGAATACTACAAACTGAAAACCAGAACCGCTCCGATACCAACATCTTGTCCGGTTGCAACAGTTCCTATTACTGCTGGATATGTCAGAGGATTGAGCTTACTCCATGACAACTCAACAACTTTAAGATGAAGACCATGACATGCAATAGGAAGGTCTTGAAAAACCAAGTAAAAGGTCTTTGTTTAACTTTTATTTCCAAGATCAAGAATGAACGTCATGCTTCAATTGGAAATGTCTTCTTAAAGACCCCAGTATCATAGTTGTTAGGGAATCATTTGCTTAGGTATTCAACCTTCGACACAGTTCATCATTTTCTCCTCTCACTGTCTCCTTTCTCATGGCATATGTCTACGGCCTTGGGTATTGCTGCTATCTCTCTTAAGGAGGAGCAGCTTGGGCGCATCGTTGTTGCCAGTCTATGACAGCACAAGCCGCCATGAGGTAGTTTACTGTTCAGGGACGTAGGTTCTCTGGCGCACATCCTTTCCTATGGACGAGAGCTCTAGTTAGATTCAGGGTCCATCATTGTTTAGTCTCACTGATGAAGAATGTTGATTATTACACTCCGAACTAGTTAAAACCTCGAGCTGCAGAAAGAGTTCTTCAGAATTGGTTTGGCAACCGCTGTGTCAACTCGTGACACACCACCTGTCTTGTGAATTCTCCGGCCGTAAACCGCCAGTGTTTGCCATCAAAGCTCCAGCTCTCCTCGTGTCTCTCTGAGTCCTGACTCACCATTGCTACAGAAGTTTCCCCCACAATAGTGTCTTTAAACACTTATTGCCTGACACTGATAAGCTGCCTGATGTATTGTGCACCCCTGCTGTTAAACTCTTCAAAAAACATTATGGCCAGACAGGAAGTGCAAAAAAGACAATCCTTTTTCCTCAAACAGTCCAATTGCTTGAAACAGAGGTTGTGTAAGGGGTTGGCATTTTCTTTACTACTACTGCGTCCTATCACAGTGTGAATGACCTCAGGCTGAATTCTTCACAGTTTTTCCTTAAAAAAACGAAACAATTTTCAAACCCATTGATACAAAATGCTTGATGAAATGACCTATTTTGCCACGGGGTGTATATGTGTGCCTCTTCGCTTGTTATGTAGCAAACCTTGCAACAATGTCATAAACGTATACACCGAAAAACAGAATAAATAATCCATTTAACTCAGTGTTAACACCATGACATCTTATCCAACTGCTGCATTCTTCTTTGTCTCCTCGATGTGTTTTACCTGAGGTCCGGGGAAGCCGTCCAGCCCGGGCTGTCCGTCTCTTCCGAGGGACCCTTCACTGCCCTTCTGACCGGGGATACCAGGCAGCCCAGATTTACCCTGCAGAGGTAACAGAGATACAGCAGTGAACACAAATAATTCATTGAAATATAGTTACCAAATTACTACCTGTGATATGTTTGCTTCTACTATTAATTCAACTACAATTCAACACCCTACTCTGCAGCTCTTCACAGCTTCATGCTAACCTGGGTCGCATTGCTTCGAATGTGTCTTCTGCCCTTTGTGTTTTCATACTATCTTTTCAAATAAACAGTCCACTGGTTATATGCATTTCCAGCTCTGTTTGTGTGATTTATTTTCCTCCCTCTTCTCTCTCTTCCGACAGGGCAATGACCTCATTCTGCCCTCGGGAATCAATAAAGCTGCAGCTTATTTTTCTCAAATCCCAATGCTTTCTGAAACAAACGCGTGAAATGACAGCAGAGGAGAGTAGCAAGGATAAGGCCGCCACAAATAACCAAAGCTGAATGTTAAATAAACTCATTAAGACGCCTGAGGGAGTGCTGGGGCCGAACACTCTATCACCATGGAGACCTCGGTTCAGTCCCAGGTAACCGTGCCTCAGGCTTGTTTGTGTGTCTTCGCTTAGTTCAAATACTTAAAACAAAACCCCTTTATAATCAAATAGTTTGCTTTAAAAGTAGAAAGAAAATGTGTGAGTTGGAGAAGGGGACAGAAGTAGGAGCATGATTAAAAGAATGACTTGAGTTACTTACAGGAAGTCCAGGCAAGCCAGAAGAACCCTAAAAAAGCAAATAATAGCCTTTGTTATGTTCAAGCTTGTTTATAGCATCCTCATGTAATTAATTACCATAACAACATAAATGGACCACTTCCAGTCCACAACAGAATTGTAAATTGTAGACCTGTACAAAATACCTGGCATGCTGTTTTTATTAAACAATAATACTTTGTTATCAGATTATTTATAGATTGTATGGCAGCTGGACCAAATTGCCTATATGATAAAACAAAACAAATGAAAGGATTTAAAAGTTTTTGAGTTAACCTGTTTTCTTTTGTTCATGCCACCATGGACACTTTGTTCGTCAGTTAGTCATGCAGCTTTTGTTGCAGTAACAACACTATCACTTAGTGCTGTTATTTGAACTAGCTCAAGATGCTCATGTCAGCAGCTTTCCAAGCAAGACAAACTGCACTTAGATAAAATTCAGATGAAATGTAAACATTAAAAGTGTAAGCTTTAAAATCCATAGTATAACCACAAGACACCATTTATTTTACCAAACATTCCTTCAATGGGTTTCCGGAGTATGATACATTCCGTCCTACAAAACGACTGACTTTAAAGCTGCTGTTCAGATTTGTAAAGATAGAATTACTATGATTTGCAGTTCTTTATTTAGACTCTGTATTGTGAAGAATCATTTTTCTTTAATACGCAGTACTGACCTGTCTTCCTTCAGGTCCTCTGGCACCAGGAAGTCCGTTGTTGAAACCTCCACCAGAGGCCTCCATGTCATCCTACAAACACCAACAAAGACTTCATTACAATCGGTAAAACCAGTATTTTCTTCTTTTGTTTATTTATTTTAAGATCAAATGCTGTTGTGCATGAGATGATTAACCTTAAAGGTCACCTATTATGCTATTCGTAGGCAATAGCATAGGTCTCAGATATATACAAATATATAAAAAACATGTCTATGAAGTGTTTTGCTCAAAATACCAAACAGATCACCCGTTCTAGCCGTGCCTCATATCCCTCCGTGTCAGCCCTGTTACTAAAGTGCTGATTCACACATCTTTATGTATAAAAGACATCAAAAAGTGCATTTTGCATGATAGGTCCCCTTTAAATATATAGTACATACAATTTGAGCACAACAGCTTTTCAATAGGCAACAGTTTGTATTATCATTGAACATCTTTAATATTACCATGCATTTTACCCTGGTTAAAGGTAGGGTAGGTAAGAATGGGGAAACCAGCTTGAGTGCGCTAGTACTTTGAAAATACACAACCGGAAGAAATCTGCCCCTTCCTTCAGACTTCCTCACAGAGCCCCTCCTCCAACACACACGAACGCGCACATGACCAATGAGGGCACCAGATAAGTGTGTGCACAGATGGAAGGCTGACAGGCAGGTAGGCCATCCAGTTATTTTAGCCGGGCCGGCTCAGATGATTGGTCGTGCTTTTTACAGCGCTACGGCTTACACAGATGCATTTTTTTTAATGTATTTTTTGTCAAAGCATTTAATATATTCATTGCTATCGGGATGTTAAGAGCATTCCATGGAACATAACTAAAAGTGTTTCTGAAGTGAATTACCTACCCCACCTTTAGCTGTCATAGAGAACCACTTAACACAGACTAAATGTAGCGTTTCATTTTGTATCCTTTAATGTGAGATCAAGTCAACTCTTTTACAAATTTTCAAGATACCAATGTAGAACTTACAAATCCGACACGGTAGCTGGATCCAGGGGGCCCGGGAGGCCCCGGCTTTCCGACTGGTCCGAGGGGTCCGGGCAGACCAGCCAGTCCGGTCTCTCCTGGATCACCTTGTACCCCTGGGTCTCCTCCAGACCCCTGTAGGGTGGCATGACAGGACAAATAAATAGTGCATCAAACCATGGTAAGGTAATGTTTTGTTTTTTTGTCAGGAATTTAATGCACAAAACTGCTAAAACCTTCATGCAGCATTTAGTATTTGTAAGTGTGGTTTAATAGCACGTAGACTAAGATAATGTAGCTGCACAAAAACTCATGCTCATTGTTCTGGGTCCCAATTCAGGCGTCACCAAATGTTAAACCAAACCATAACCAGCACTCGGATTAAACTTCCAGTCTGCAGCTGTCAATATTTGAGAAACATTTGCAAATTGTTAGAAGACACAAATCCTCTTTGATGGCTGACGTGCTGGAGCACAGTTACCTGCAGAGAGGAAGACTTAGGAAAGTAGGAGGAGGATAAATAGTGGGGCAGCAGATTTGTGAGAAAAGAAAAGTCGGAGCTTGGCTGGAGGAATGAAAAGGATGAGAAGAGCTTTAGAAATAGTTCAAAGATGATACATCAGTCTCGTTTCCAAAAAGCACGCCACCAACTCACTGCACACTTATCTAAAGTCTGTGATGCTTTTTCTCTGTATTACATCACCTCTATTAATGCCTACAAAGACCCATTGCATTTAGTTGTGTTTTGGACTGCAGATGTAAATGTAAAGGGGCAGCTAGTTAAAGAAAGTTCAAACTTAAAGAAAATCACAAGTCCTCACCTTCTGTCCAATTGCTCCTGGAAGACCCAGCTCGCCTGCATCACCCTAGTGTAGGGAAGAATAGACATATGTTAATACAAACTTCAGTTCAAGTAAATCCTACATATGCATTTTTGTTTCCTTTTTTTGTAAGGAAATGTAATATTTTAATATTTTCTCAAAAAAAGTGTTCATGGCAATATTTGTGGAAACAGCATCTCAGCTTAAAGCCTGTGGGTGAGCCAGATGTCAGAGAGCCTGCGTTTAACAACACGTTTTTAGGCACAGATTACACCACACATCACAGCGCTAAAAGCAAGTCGCCAAACATGGCATAGGGTGTTCTAGATGTGCATACAAGTTAAAATCACACATGGCTTGCACACACAGCCCCGCTTCACATGTTTCTGAAGTGGTTCATCTTAGTGTGATCGGGGCCCTTTAAAGTCTACACACTTCAATACAAGCCATATCAGCTTTTCTTTAAGCTTTTTGCTGTGTAATATCATAACATTTTTAGAATTTGAAAGGTGTGATAGCGGTGAAGTCGATGCTAGTTGGCCTAGCTAGCACTAACTGCCACTGGACATATTCTTTCTGCTGTGTCACTGACGGCTTTCTTCTTATCACACAATCTAACACTGGAGGATCTAGTTAGCATTAACTTGTTCTCTTTTAGGGTCCAGTTGTGATGAAGGCAAAAGACCACTCTGTCAAAACTCAGTGCAGGTAGTCCTGTCACTTCCTCTTTTACTAAGTGATTCACATAACCCAAATCAAAACATTAAGTCAAATAGAGCTTGCTCAAATCATAGATCATGTCATGTCTAATGGCCTGTGAACTATATTAGTACTCGTCCATGGATACTGCGCCAAGTATCAATACTGTCAACAATACCAAGGATATGCACAGGAAAACTATATTTAATCCAGTAAGATTTCAATACATCTAATGTTCACACTATTAAGATGCATATAGGGGTGCTAACAATTACATGTAGTTATTCCTATTAGAAGAAACAATTATTCCCAAAGTCATTACATTTTCTCCTTTGGGAGCAGACGCTCCTGGGCTGCCGTCAGTCCCTGGAATACCAGGCAGGCCCTAGAGAGATTTGGTTTGGGTGTAAAGGAGTTGTTGATTAGGTTAGAGTCTACAGTCAGTTAGAGCATTATTTGGATTATTAATGGTGTTTGGAAACCTACAGGTTGACCAGCCGCACCGTCCTTTCCTGGGGGTCCGAAAGCCCCAGAACTCGATGCTGTGCCTGTTGTAGAGGGACCAGGAGCCCCTGGGGGACCAGGGGGACCTTGTAGGCCAGGCAGTCCCTACAACATCAAAATAATTATTTAGCAATTAGGCAATGATTTTGTAGTCCATGATGTGTTTGCAGAGCTAAGATCTCTAGCTAGGTTTTCTTCTTCTGTAATTGGTTTGACAGTAATCGTCATTTACAGATGTTGGTTACAGTCTTACAGCAAAAATGATAATATCCTTCTTTACAAAGTTCATTTCAGTTTGGAGAGGTTCTCATTTGACTCACCCGAACAGATTCCAGATCAGGGAACCCTGAGCCTTCCATGTCCACAAAGGTCTGCAATACATAAATGATGTCAGTTTCATTCAACAAATCTCTGCTGATACAACATCTGTCTGACCATGATGAGCATGTGACCGAGGTCCAGCGGAACTCACAGATCTGATTCCTGGACCGGGAAGTCCTGGTGGACCCCTGGGGCCGGGCTGACCATCTCCACGGTCTCCCTGCATGCACGACAGACATTATTTTAATAAACATAGCAATAATATTTGTAATATCTGTTATTGTTTTTATGTAAGTGAGCGCTTTACCTTGTCTCCTTTAAGTCCAGGATCACCCGGGGTTCCTGGGAAGCCAGGGGGTCCCTCAAGGCCCTGTGTCGAGATACATAATGTTAGGGCACTCATGGTGTGACAACAAGGGAAAAAGTAAGCGTATGGATCTATTTTAATGATCCATCAGCACATAACCTTTGACAGATAAGAGCTAAAGTAATCAATAGTGTTTTTGGTATTGTGCAGGAGAAAAAAAATACGTACGGTTTTTCCATCCTCACCAGGATCACCCTGGGACAAAGAAAACATGATTACACATCCTCTAAGACACATTGTCTTTTTTTATATTTAAAATGGACATCAATATTCACCCATATGTCACATACATTTACATGTTTTAACTTATTTAAAACTGAGGTGGTAACTTTAATTATTATACATTTTCTGGCATGCTTGAAAACTTGTGATTTGTGTTTTAATGTAAACAGTTTAACTGAAGTCTACTCACTGGCTCTCCATCAGTCCCCGGTGGTCCCTCTGGGCCTGATGTGCCCGGGGGTCCAGCTGGTCCTCGGGGTGCGGGGGCTCTGGAAGCCACTGAGCCGTCACCGCCGACTGTAACCTCAGTTGCGGCCCCTGGCGGGCCGGGGGGGCCAACGGGGCCAGCAGGGCCCGGCTCTCCCTTCTTTCCGATGTAGCCGAAGCCGGCGCTGCCCTGGAGGAAACCAAGCATCGGAGACATTATTTGACCTCTGAATTCCCATACTGTGAGGTGGTATCAGGGTTCCTTTTGTGAGGGACTGCATCACAATAAACCTGTAGCTTTGTAGCTAGGTGACTCAAATAAAAAATACAAAATGTAGATGATCTCACCTTTAATCCCTTCTCCCCCAGTTCTCCCTGAAAGGTGAAAGAAGAGTCTTCATTAGCTGTCTAGTTCAACTTAAAGCACTATCATCCACTGACATGTATATACTGACCCATTCCCTGGTAGAGAGCTTGAACTGAAACACATCACACACTGTGCACACTTCCATTAGTAAGGGTGGGACCAGTGGGATTTCATTCTGTATGTATGTGTGTCACTTTACCTTCATTTAACAATACATATACTTTGCTTACTGTTTTACAATCTGCTGACACCTCTGTGTTTATACTCATTACTTCTAACTATGCATATTTATTTACTGAATTTATATTCAGTTCATTCATTAGCAATACTGTCAACCACAAATTAATAATACTTTATTTTATTTATAATGTTGGCATTTATTTATACCTGCACCATAGTATGATTTAGATTCTTGTTTTGCGTGATTTATCTTTGAACACATGAAGTCATTGTGGGAGCCACTGCTGCTCTGTCATGGTTGTGCAGATGACAATAAATCACTTTTTGGGGGAAATAATATATCAAATACAAAATATTTTTTAGTAGAAACAACCCTTCATACTAAAACCTTTATTCTAATCATAACGGAAATATAACTTCTGTTGGTTAATAGAAACAAGTCAGATACATACCATGTATGTAGTACCTGCTACTTAAAGTTGTTATTTGTTGTAAGTTTTCTCTTTGTGTATCCCCAGCTGAAGCTGTGTGTGTCAAATCAATGATGTGTTGACTTTAGAGAACTGTCCCATTGTATGAGAGTGGAAATACTGCCTGTCCGTATACTTAACCAAGAATACAGCGTATAGAAATGTGATCAAATAGATTAGATACAAATTGTATAAGAAAGCAATATAAATAGACTCCTTGACCATATAAGCATATGCTTGCAGAACATTAGGACTATTAGCTCCCTCTAGTGTTCCTCTGGGATGTGTCAGCCCCCCTCAGACCCCTGCTGTTACTAACCCTGCCCCCCACCCTCTGCGACCTTCACAAGGACAAACTAAAAAGGAAATCTTGCATCATCGGTGCATCCCCCCCTCTCACTGCATGTAGGTCCGTACCTTTTCTCCACGGCTTCCCCCCCGTGATCCGGAGCCAGAGCTGGAGGTGGTCTCTCCCTTCGGCCCGATCGGACCCCTGTCTCCTTTCAGGCCTGAGTTCCCCTGGCTGCCCTTCTCTCCTTTAGCCCCTGAAAACAACGACAAAAGGACAGAGTTATTAGAGCCCTCATGAAACGAGCTTTCAGAAATGATTCATGTTTGAATCCAAGCCCCCAAAAATAAACAGGACCCAGAAGAAGAAGAGGAAACAGGAAGAGGAAATTACTTTTTGCTTGATGGAGTGAGAATCCCCTGTGAGTGTGTGGCTGTAATATAAAGGCCCTGTGAAGGTTCTGAGGAGGATACACCTTCACACACCTGCATGCACCACCTTCCCCATATTTATATTCTAGTGTTACCTTACACTCTCCCTGTTTTCAGTAGATTCTATATACAACGCAACCATCCCCTTCAGTTGTGTGAAAAATATTTCCGACAGCGCTGACATGCACAGAAACACGGTGCTTCCAGTGTTCCAGTTCAGGGAGTTTTGCTATGGAAACATGGATGCCATGCCTCTAAACTGATACATAAGCATGAAGTAGGGCCTACTCACTGAAAAATGAACACCTCAGATCCTAGCATTAGCATCCTAGGCTAATATGCAATTATGTTCCAATCCTTGTTATTCTTAAGGAATAAATATCTATGTGAAGCTGAACCAAAATCAGTTTCCCTAACCCTTTGTATCTTCTCCCCTTCTCTCCCTCAAACGCACTCTTCTATTTCCTCTTTGTGCATATATTTTCAGAGGATTACAGCATGAACGGCCCAATGTTCCATTCCCCTGGCTTAGATACTTAGATGTCTTAGATACACGCCACCCTTCATGAGTTCAGAAGCAGAAAGCATTGAGATTCATGCATGCTGCCGTGCTTTCAAGTCCATGTGAGGTCCTGCGTGAGGAGCACACATGAGGCAGCAGAGCCTCAGAGCAGAGAATACAAAAGGAAGTAAAACACGGATGCTTGTCCCCCGGCCCCCTCGACCCACCTGAGGACCCTGGCAGCCCGGGTCTGTTCTCCACAGACACTGAACTGTAGTGTGAGTCACTCGCTGAACACAATGTAGAATACAGTGTTAAATACAGTCTCTAGATTGACAGCATTGTATAGAGCAGGGGTGTCCAAACTACGGCCCGGCCCGGCCATTTTGAATCGGCCATCAGCCAATTAAAAAAGTATAATGAAATATAACCTGCAAATTAAACATCTGCTATTGTACTTCTTAAATATATATATATATATATATATATATGTTCAAATATAAAACACAGTATTCATGTATTAATAAGCCCAATTTTCAAATAAATGTGGTCAATTCAAGTTGAAAACATTTTCTAACAAATCTTAGTTGATAAGAAAAAAGCCCAATAACACATTTACATAACAACCTTGAAATAATACTCTTCATATGTCTTCTTATTATAAGCGATCTGAGCCTCCTGTTTCAAGGAATTATCTGCTAAAAAAATAAATGAAAGCTCTGTTTTTTCATCAATAGGCGCTTTCACACCAAGTACTTTGCCGTACTTAGTTCATGAGAACTTAGTTCATCAGAACTCTTTAGTTCTGATGAACTAAAGAGCAGATCGCGTTCACACCGGAATAAGTCCCTGAGGGAGGATTAGGCAAATGAAGCCGCTGACGTCACTTCTTCTTCTGCTTTGGGTTTACTGGCAGGCTGCAAACAACTTCACGGTGTATACTGTCACCCGAACAGTGGCACAGCACCACCTAGTGTCAGCAGAAAGTATTAAAATAATGATTACAACAAAATGCAAAAAATAAATTAAAATATATTTTAAGATCATGTTTAATCATCTGATTCGTCTGTACATTGCTGTTTTAGTATGTGTTCTTCTAATTAGTGTCTACAGTGTGTGCCTATTGAGCTGTTTGTTTAGAGCAGTGTTTCTCAAACGTTTTCATACCAAGGACCACTTAACCAATAAAAAAACACTCGCGGACCACCTAACTCCACAAATATCCAAAAACACATCGTTTTTTACAAATTGCCTGAAAATTGTACAAACAAGTGGCAACATGTGTGATGAAGGTGCTTATCTGGGCTATATCATGCAATCAAAAGTGAAACTTAAGCTCGTTCCATTGCGGAGATATTCCCGCGAGAGTGCGAAAAACTTAAATAAATGTATTTATTTCAAATGTGAAATGTTACCAATATACTCACGGACCACTAGGGGGCGCTCACGGACCACCAGTGGTCCGCGGACCACACTTTGAGAAGCACTGGTTTAGAGCCATGTGGGACAAAACCCGATCCTGCCCCTCCCTCTCACTGTCTAAGTCAGGGGTGTCAAACTCAATTTCATCGCGGGCCACATTAGCCTTATGGTTGCACTCAAAGGGCCGGTTGTAACTTTAAGACGATATAAATATATAAAATAATGTATTATATGACATTATTGCCTCTGCATTGGATTATTATCGGATAGGGTAATAACTTCATAATTAACTACGTCTGAAGGCGAAAGTCCAGGGCAAATAATTGCAAGTCTCTTCAGTGCGCATGTCACAAAATGAGATGCATTGTGGGACATGTTGTTTATTGTTTTATTAATGTGCTTCTGTAAAGTGGCAAGTAACCGTATAATAAACATATTATATTCTTTGAAAGCTCTTGCAGGCCACATAAAATGAAGTCGCGGGCCGGATTTGGCCCCCGGGCCTTGAGTTTGACACCCCTGGTCTAAGTGAACGGTGACTGTAAAAACTACACTGCGCATGCTCAGAGTATTTTCCTATTTAATGTGTGTGGCAAAAAATAATGACCATAGGGGCATAGAGCTGCCATCCCCACTATAGCGGCGATCGCTCATCAAAAAAGGCCACTCATGGAGGTTAGCAGTCAGAGTTTCCAACGCGTGTTGTGGTGAAGGATGAGGTCCACCATGACGTAATTTGTAATGCTTTATACAATGTTAAAATGTTCTTTTAGGCCTATCTAAAATCTTGGTTAACATATAACAATCACGCACACGCACAGACACGGTCAACACGGTTGAAAAACGTGTGGCTTCCTCTCTAACCTCTCATCCCCGCTGATCACCTGTGCCCACATATAGCTTGATTCCCTCCCGTGCTCCCAGGTGCGCAGATTAGATGAACACACACACACACACAACCAAAAGCAAATTGGCTCCAACACACCAGCCCCTAATTGTGACTGTATAATAAAGTGACAATTACACCAAAACACTAGTGGAGTCAATTATTAGTAAAGAGCACAAGAGTGTCTCAGTCCATACTGTCAGTCAAAAAGTGTCCGAAAAAGTAATCCGAACATAGGGATCTATGTCAGTTCTTCATTCAGCTTCCTGGAGAAGACAGATCTTGGTGACTAGTCGTTCCAGTATACTGCATTTTGTCTGGACTTTAACAGACCGCACCAGTCCATGTGCGTCAGGAAAGGTATGCAGTATTTTCACGAGCAACCAAGATCCACGGGGAGCAGTAGAGTCTGCAATGATGACGATGTCTCCTGTGACGAAACTCCTCTTCTCCTTTGTCCACCGTTGACGTTCCTGTAACAGTGGTAAGTACTCCCGGATCCATCTGCGCCAAAAGAGATCTGCCAGGAACTGAACTTGCCTCCAACGTCATTTGGTGTACAGGTCGCCTTTCTCAAACAGTCCAGGAGGTAGAGCAGGTTTAACTTTAAGCAAGAGCAGATGATTGGGAGTCAATGGTCAAGATCATTAGGATCATCCGAGACCTTTGTAATGGGACGGTCATTGAGAATGGCTTCAACCTCACACAGAAGAGTGTGTAGTCTCTCATCATCCACATTTTGCTGGTGAAGAACAGAGTTAAGCACCTTTCTGACCATATGTATGATCCTCTCCCATACTCCTCCATGATGTGATGCAGCAGGAGTATTAAAGCTCCACTTAACTCCTGACTGAAGTAGTGAACTTTGAATTTTCTTCTGATCCAGAGCACACAGAGCTTCTCTCAGTTCGCGTTCTGCTCCCATAAAGTTGGTTCCGTTATCTGATCTGATGCATGAAACTTGGCCTCTCCTAGAAATGAATCTTCGTATGGCATTTATGCAAGAGCTGGTGTCTAATGAGTAGGCAATTTCCAGATGCACTGCACGGCTGGCCATGCAAGTGAAGATAACCCCGTACCGTTTGCAGAGGCTGCGGCCTACTTTCACCTCAAATGGGCCAAAATAGTCTACACCCACATTCGTGAATGGTGGAAGGTGAGGCTGAAGTCTATCTTTTGGCAAATCTGCCATCTTTTGTTCGCCCAGCTTTCCGCGATCACGCCTACAGACAGTGCAGGAAGAAATAATCTTCCTGGCAGAAGCATTGCTGTTGGTGATCCAATACTTCTGCCGAAGTCTAGAAAGCAGATGATTTCTTCCACAATGTCTAAGCTGTTCGTGAATGTGGCATAAGATGAGAGTGGAGATGTGTTGATCTTTAGAGAGAATGACTGGGTGTTTCACATCATTAGGCATTGCTGAGCCTTCCTCCCACTCTTAAAAGGCCATTGTCTATCACTGGATCAAGTTTATAAATGTGACTGTTTGCTCACTCCAGACTTTATTCCTTGCAACGAAGTGATTTCGTCATTAAACCTTTCCATTTGTCAATATCTTCCATGGACAAGGTTTGACCGCCCAGTGTGGCTCTGAATCTTTGCATCTCCTTTTCAACTGTGTTCTTATGTTGAGTCATATCAAGTCCATTGCTTAACGTAACGCAGATGCCTGTATATCCTTTCGTTTTTTACTCAACATCTGCAACGTCCTTTTAACCTGCAGAAGCCATGCAACTGATGTTTTCAGCCTTGTCCATGATGAGAAGTAGGTTATCATGTGGTTTGTTGTAGTCTGTCCATCCTTGACGATGATGGCGTTCACTGTCGCCTCACCTTTGACCTCTGTGTCTTCATCGCTGACAGAAGCACATTCCACGATATTCACAGGCCACTCTCTCATTCTCAAAAAGAAACTCTGGGCCACGAATCCATCTGCTGCCAGTAAGAAGATGCTCAGCTTTCATGCCACGAGATGCCTCATCTGCTGGATTTTGCTTTGTACCAACGTACCTCCA